GCATCGCTACTGGTAACAAGGGCATTACTACTAATAGCTAGAAGCTAGTAGTGACAAGGGCATCGCTACTGGTAACAAGGGCATTACTACTAGTAGCAAGAAGCTACCAATAACGAGGGCATTGCTACTGGAGACCAGGGCATTACTACTAGTAGCAAGACGCTACTAGTAACAAGGGCATCGCTACTGGTAACAAGGGCATTACTAGTTACTAGTAGCAAGAAGCTACTAGTAACAAGGGCATCGCTACTGGTAACAAGGGCATTACTACTAGTAGCAAGAAGCTGTATACTAGAAACAAGCGCGTCGCTACTGGTAACAAGGGCACGAAGCTACTGGTAACCAGGGCATCCCTACTGGTAACAAGGGTAGCAAGAAGCTACTAGTAACAAGGGCATCGCTACTGGTAACAAGGGCACTACTACTAGTAGCAACAAGCTACTAGTAACAGGGGCATCGCTAACAAGGGCATTACTACTAGAAGCAAGAAGCTACTAGTAACAAGAACATCGCTACCGCTATCAAGGGCATTGCTAGTTCCTAGTAGCAAGGTAGCGCGAAGCTACTAGTAACAAGGTCATCGCTACTCATAACAAGGGCATTACTACTAGTAGCAAGAAGCTACTAGTAACAAGAGCATCGCTACTGGTAACAAGGGCATTACTGCTAGTAGCAAAAAGCTACTAGTAACAAGGGCATCACACGCTACTGGTAACAAGGGCATTACCACTAGTAGCAAGAAGCTACTAGTATCAACAACATCGCTACTGGTAGCAAGCGCATTCCTACTAGCAGCAAAAACCTACTGGTAACCAGGGCATCCCTACTGGTAACAAGGGTAGCAAGAAGCTACTAGTAACAAGGGCATCGCTGCTGGCAACAAGGGCGTTACTACTAGTAGCAGGAAGCTACTAGTAACAAGAACAGCAAGCGCATGCCTACTAGTAGCAAGAAGCTACTGGTAACCAGGGCGTCCCTACTGATAACAAGGGTAGCAAGAAGCTACTAGTAACAAGGGCATCGCTACTGGTAACAAGG